TTTCCAAGCAAGACTGTTTGTCTTTTCCAGCCTTCATCCGGAATGGAATCCGTGGGCCTGCCTTAAATCCAGATTGCCGGTGAAGTGTGGGAAACCACTTCGCGATTTTGCTACCTTGGTGGCGTAATAACAACCTACCAGCAGATGATGAGCGATCTGCGTAGCTACATATCGAAGACGGCTGTTGCTTTTGACAAGCTGGAATGTCGTGTGTGGAACAACCACCAGCTTACGGTTGGGACGAAGCAGCTGGTAGCTAACTCTATGGGGCTGTCCGTTCTTCCATTTGGAAGCGAAACCTAGACGGTTTATCGGAAGGATGTCCGACATCTGGAGCGCTGACATCAGCAACGTTTGTGTCGCATTATGCACATCGGCTGGAGTGACCGAGTTGCAGACACGTAGGTGCTCCGACGCACTGGTATGCATGCAGTGAACTGCATAATTCTGCTGAGGCACCTGAGGTGGCTCGGGCCTAGTCGCCCCATGCATTCGACCTGGATACGGAAACAGCTGCTTTATGGCCACCTAGGTGCAGGAAAGCGACATGTGGGAAAACGGAATTTACGTTACCAATCCGTGATCAAAGCAAGACTCTCATGTCCCAATCTTCATTGCAGGTCATGGGGATAGAAGGCGGTCGATCGTAGTGCATGGCACTATCTAATGACGAACACAGTTGCCTAGGTGCAAGAGAAAACCCTCGTGCGTTCAGGCAAGAAGCGGAAAGTGCGAACAAGACAGGCGCCGACGGGTTGTACTCCATTGATATCGAGCGTATGGTGCTGTAGCACAAGCGGTCCCGATTGTCTGAGTCAGGCAATCTTAGTAAGCCACCAGGTAAGCCACTCAGGACCAGCACGGAAACGACGACGATTCCCGCTGAGACCGGCGCGGGGTTTGTAGGCATGTTGCCTTCGATTTACTAACCACGTGCTTGCGTGCTTAGTTTCTTTATTGCAGGTGGTTGGTTTGCTACTTTTTCTTATGGTCATTTTGTTACCTCATTTTAATGTGTACCGGAATAACCTATTAAACTGCACCTTTCGTTTAAACTAATGGTGATGAACTTCGCCTATATTTTCCTTACATATGTGTCTTAATCTCTTCGCTGCCATCCTGAATCTACCCGTGACGCTGCTTGCAGCGAACATCCTAAAACTTTTTTGTAAAACTATGCGCCACCATCGCAACGAACCTGTGAAATCGCATCCAGTGGACAGTTTCGTAAGGCAGCTACAGAGCATTAACACTCAAGTTGTTGATATGAACATGAACATAGCAATGCCCTGCGAGCTGCTTGCTTTCCGTGATAACAAAATACCAACTACAATTGATATTTTTCGCTAGTAAACGATTCACTAGCTGGGAGTCTAAATCAGGTATCCAGCACTCCATTCTACCTGAACGTGGATTCTACTGATCTTACCCCCCAAAAACCCGAGTCGGCTGATACTCAGAACCATACTATTTCACACAAACTTAAAATCAAACCTCCTGTTCCAGCGGTTTGGCTAGCTCAAAAACTATCGCCCCATAAAATTACCAACCACCACATAAGGCCTATGAAACCAATAGCTTTCAGTGTCCTTGCTTCCACTACACCTGACTCAACTACTCACAGTGACATCGTTACAACTTTCGGTAAAGTTGCTAACGTGAAATTTCACATGCTAAACGCCATTAGGGTGCCTAAAAGGATACAGGCCTATCCAGCATCAGTAAGATTTAGTTCTGTCGACCAGCACACGTTGGAAACGTTTATTAGCCAGCTAAATGCCGTTCGAAAGATCCTCCATGTATGAAACATTCACTACAGCAGGGTACTTACTCAACGCTGTGTTTCCGTTCATCCGAAAATGTCTGAAGCCTTTATTCTGGGTAAACCATGTATGGTCACAGGCTCTTTCCGCAATATAAATGCTACATATAACCCTGCTAGCTTAATGAACTCTCCATTTTGGGGATCTGGGAAGGAAACCAATTGTCATCCCTCCCCATCATGCCTACTGTTTTTTCGGAACTTTCTCACAATTATCCAAACGTAAATTGGGAATTAGTCCTACACTACTAACAAATTCCATTCCTGCTCAAAAGTACCCCAACCCATCGTCCTTAAATTGTAATGACACATCTCCAGATATCTAATTCAACTTATTCAATCAACTACCGTGTCTATCTATTCGGAAACTATCCAGCAAATCGCTTTTTTTCAATGCCCGCAAACTCCGAAATAAGATGCCCACTCTTCACTCCTTGGTGTCTCTTTAAACCTGGCTATATCTTAATGACAAAGACGTGGTTTACAAACGAAACGTCACAGTCCTGCATCCAAATTAACCAGTATCACACTTGTTTCTTTTGTTGAAACTAGACAACTGGAGGTGGTTGCATCATATATGTCTCTAATAACTTTCAGTCATCGCTGTTATTCGATTTCCTTCAAAATAGCAATATTGACAACATAATTGTACCTCTTGCTCTAGGTAGAATCTCAATGATTTTGGATTGCATTTACTCCCCTCCGATCCCATTCAGTGGTCTGATTATACAATTCTGTGAGCCAGAACTATCAGAACAACAGGGTCGAACACACAACATGACGAACGCGCCTCTGCTCTATACGTCATCTCACGGTGCTCCTCCTTCTCTCACAACGATATATTCACCGCGCCCAATGTTTCTTAACCAGCTGACGTGACAGTATGCAACGAGGCACCGTCACGTGCATCCCATTAGTCTCTGGAGAGAGACACTCAGGAAGACATCTATCCAACATTATGTCTTGCACAATCTCTCACACTTGCCTTATTGGACACGCATACAAGCCCAACTATGCCTAGCCGTCCATGCGGCGCTGAGAACATCGCCCTCAGGGCCAGTCTGTCTATGACACAGGCACCCCCATCACACAATATGTGTACCTGCAAACCAGCGGATCTCTGACACAACATTCGACATTGTCTCCGTCAAACATTGCGTTATCGAGAGAGGCGGACAACCATCATCACGTACAGGCAAAAGCAACATCTTGAAGCACAAGTGCAGCGGTCCACACACACAGTCTTACTGTGAGTAAAATTTTAATGTTTTATAATTGTCAGGCCCACGTCCGCGAATGCAACTCCTGAAAAACACGAAATATCGCGTGCTCAGCCTTCAGACAGGGTGCTATCTTGACTGACTCTTCACGAGACTCTACTCTATAGTTCTCTGTTATGTTCTCTACTCCACGTAAGCACGCTATCCTCCTGTACATACATATCTCTCTCTCTCACAACTATGTCGACGTGGCAGCTATCGGGTGAACCTAGAGCCCAGACTATTATCGCGGAGGCCTGCTAGTGGCGTGGGCTTGATACCCGTCGCAAGTCCCGCGCGGCTGCTAGTAGCAAGCACGCAGAGCGAGACGATCACACCTCTCTCTCCTCTCGTCACGGATAAACTGTGTCTGCTACGAGAGGGTAGCATAGTGCGCTCCCCTCATATTTACCCGGCGGGCACCACCCGTCCACTGCGCGGGCTCGTGACAGCAATCTCGCCGGGGGGGGGGAGAAGGGGGAGGAGGAGACAGGTGGGCGGGGCTGCTGGGCGGAGGGGGGAGGGGGGGCAGGAGGGGGGGGGCGCGGGAGGTACTTGGGGCGGAGGTGTATATACCGGACACTACATGCTCACTTGGGGGGAGAGGAGCACTGTGATAGGATCATGCCGGGAGGCCAGAGGTCTCGTTGGTACGAGCGGCGTGAAGATTCTAACATCTATACACTCTCATCATGTATATGACACTCATTGCGAGGGGTGGATGGATTATTAAAGCAACTAGTGACGTCAATAGGGGGGGGGGGGAGGGGAGGGGAGATTGGGGGGGGGGGGTGGTGGGGGGGGGGGGGGCGGGGGCGGGAGCAGAGGGGTGGAGAAGCGGGCTGGATCGGGGGGCGGGTCTGTGTGTGGGGAGGGGACTGGGGTGGTTTATAGGGGATTATTGGGGGGTGGGTAGTTTTTACTGCAATAGGCGGTGTGGTTATTATGGGGAACGCTACATTCTGAGAACATCATTGGGGGGGGGAGTGGGGTCTTATCTCCGGCGTTGTGGGATGGGGGTTGTGAGAAAAACTTGAGGGGACATAATAAGGACGAGAGGACAACAATTCACGGCTCTTAGTCAGATTTATCTTCTGGGGAGGGGGCGGGGGGGGGGGAGGGAATATGGGTGGGGATGGTGGGCGGTGGGGGGGGGCTCGAGTATGACACGTGTGGTCAGGGTCGCGTAGTCGGAATAGAGGTTTCTGGGGGGGGGTGAGGGGGTACTGGTCTCTATGTCAGGGACAGTGCGAGGGAAGGTGGGCGATGAGAGGGGGGGGGGTTTGTTTATTTAGATAGGGAGAGTGATGATGGGAGGGGTGGCACATTGGGGGGGGGAGGGGTGGAGTTGGTGGTGGGGATGGGGTGGTGGTATGATGGGTTGGGGTAGGGGGGGGTAGGTGGATTTGGTAGTGATGGTGGGGGGGGGTGTATATATGGATTGTGAGGGGGTGGCAGAGTTAGTGAGGATGTTGATGGGGGAGATTAAGGAGTTTTGGGGGTAGGGGGTGTTGTTGGGAGAGGGAGAGAATGTATAGTGATGTATTGATGTAGGGTAAGAGTGTGTGAGGGATTGGGGTTAGATTAAAGAGAGGGGGAGTGAAGGAGAGGGGGGGATTGAATGAGGTTAATGAACAGGGTTTGGGTTGTTATATAATGAGACGGCAGTGATAAATTGAGGTGGGAAGGGGGGTGGAATGGGGAACAAGGGGTATGAGGAACACAGAGAAGTGGTTGGGGAGGGGGAGTGAGGGGCGGGGGTCAAGATTGGAGTTGAGGTTGATGTAGATCGTGAGTTGGTTTTAGTTAGATTGGTAGGTTGGGCGGGGATGTGAGGGGAAGAGCGGGTGGGGGAGATTGAATGGGGTGTGTGTGTGGTATGATATTGGGGGGGATGGGGGTAGGTACAGGAGGATGTA